TGCTGCGGGAGAATGCATACAGCTTGTGCAAAAATGCCTCCAATCTGCACATTTGAATTATGACTATTCTCAAAACTATTAATAATTTTTGCTTCAGCATATTCCCCTGCCATGGTGTTTTTGGCAAACTGGTCCTATATTGTGGATGCATGAACATGCATCCCCAGGAAAGACAGTTAGATCTTATCCCCAGGCTATGCTTTGTATTATTCAAAAGGCATACAGAATGAGGCTTCAAGTTTTTGGCAAGATGCCAGATGTGGTTGTTACTCCCTATACTCAGCAATGGATACAATGGCTTCAGCAGTTTGATGAGGATTGGGCACATTTCTTATGTTCCATACTCTGCCACTTTGATAGTCAATTTCCTTCCAATAAATTAGCTCATTTTTTAAAAAATCACCCTGTGTGTTTCCCTAAGATTGTTTCCCAGAATCCTTTGAAGGGGGCCTGCAGTGTATTTGCAGATGGCTCCTCAAATGGTTGTGCAGTAGTTGTTTCCTTTCCCATTGTTAAACGCTCTACACTTAAAGTGAAATCTGCACAATTTGCGGAACTAGCTGCAGTACAATTAGCCCTTCCACATTTTTCTGATGAGCCGTTTAACTTATACACAGATAGTAAATATGTGTATCATATATTGGCTCCCTAAAAACTGCTGCTCATATAGCTTTGGTCTCTCGTGTACAGGAACATTTACTAGCCATACAAAGCATACTATGGAGGTGCTTTCATCCAATTTTTGTAGGATGTCTCCAAGCACATTCTGATTTGCCTGGCCCTTTGAGTGAAGGAAATGCCACTGCTGATTTTAATACTAAAACAGATAATGCCATTATGATGATGAGAGAGTCTGGTTATGAAGCAGCCTGCAAAGCTCATACAACCTTCCACCTTAACGCAGGTCTCTTAAATTCCATTTTAAAATTACTAGAGACAAAGCTATTAATATAGTTGAGAATTGTCCCCTATGTGCAGAGTTCTTACCTGTTACACATCTTGGAGTTAACCTCCAGGGTGTCATGCCTAATGATATCTGGCAGATGGATGTTACTCATGTTCCTTCCTTTGGCCGACTACAATTTGTTCATATATCTGTGGATACCCATTCTCATATCCATATTTGCCTCTGCCCATACTGGAGAAAGGCTTAAGGATGTTAAGAGCCATTGTTTACAAGCCTTTGCTTATATGGAAATGCCCAGACAATTAAAAACTGATAATGGCCCTGCTTATACTAGTCAGGGTTTCAATTCTTTGCAAAAGTTTTTTTTTTTTTTTTTATCTCATATAAGATGGGCATCTCTTATAATCCTCAGGGTCAGGCTACAGTGGAGTATGCACATCGCACAGTTAAAGTCTCCTTTCTTTTGTCCTTTTAAATTTTTTAACTATTGATTGTGTTGCTCGATCTGTGGCTGACAGGCATTGGCACCCTCGGTCATCTGACTATGGCTCAGTTATGTGGAAGAATGTCACTACTGGGCAATGGTGTGGCCTTGACCCAGTTCTAGTATGAGCCCGAGGGTCAGTTTGTGTCTTTCCACAAGACACAGATGCCTGAGCATCTGATTCACCCTTTGGGGAGGGACCATGATTGTAACAGCCAGAAAGAAGGTCGGATGGGTCTTCAAGAATCCACCCATTCTGATGCCTGTGGGTCTGAGTAGCCTTATGTGGCCCTTTTCCCTGACCACTAATTATAGTTTGGATCAAGCGGCTATAAATTTATACTTTTATCTAAAGGACAAGAATTTCACCTTCATCTCAGGCACTTGTATTCTGGTTCCCTTCTTTTTGTTGTAACTAATGCTACTAATTTTGGAGGAAGTTTCAATTGTTCTCAGCAGGTCTGTCGACTGGTTAGCTTCTGGACATATGAAGTAACAGCTGTCGTGGGCCACGTACCCCAGGTGTGCAGCAGAGAGGGAAGGAGATTTCGGGATTACGGCTGCCAGTGCCACCTCCACCACTGAAGCAACAGTTTCTACGATAGCCCTCTCCCAGTCTGTAAATACTGCAAGCACAGTGGATCAACTATCAGGTGATTTGGCTGTAGCCTTAGCCACCCAAAACACACTTGATTATCTGGTGCAAATTGGTATTTTTAAATTAAATCTACAAACTAGCCTCCTATATGAACACTTGAATTTTTTGTGAGAGGCTCATATGGCTTCTTGTTCTCTGTCTTTCATACATATCTGTGTTAATGCATCATTTTTCTCCAGAAATCCTGGAGTGATCAGTTTTTAAATTATACACATGCTTTAGCCATGCAGACCATTAACATCAATGAAACCTGAGTACCACCTGCCAGTGCAGAAGACCTTTTACAAGGACTTTAACTTGCGGGCAGGTTACTGGGGTTTGTAGCCCTTGCACTTGGTGCTACTTCACCACAGCTTAGACAGGCCCAGGCCAACTTTCAAATAAGACAGAGTTACTGTCTTTGGCTCAAGAGAAAATGCCTCTACCTACGTGTGGCTGACAAACTATTCACCAGAGACGGGTAAGGCACAGGGGGCAAATATACAACCTAAGACAGGAAGGTTACGGGCCTGGGTGACCTCTCCAATGATGGGTAAGGAATTATGCTGATACCCTCTGCCACCTAAGGCAGGTGTTAGTTTATATTAAAAGAAAAGGGGACCTGTAGGACCCTGCATGGACCCCCAAGGCATCTTGAGCAAGCCTAAAGCTGTTAGGCAGAACTCCTTGCCCCAAACCTATTGTTGGTACTCTTCCTGTTTTGATAACACACACCTCGTGACGATACACACCTCATGGGGAGGAGCTAAGTCTAAAATTCCTGTAATTTTCCACTGTGCTATAAGTCAGTATTTATGCCCGTTCCATCCCCTCAATAAACGGCATTCGATATTTAGCGTTCTGACATTGCCATTGAATGAATCTCCAGGCCTTCACCCGATTCATGGAACAGATCGTAGTGTGGGCGCTACATACAGCCACTTTGGAAATCAGTATGGTGGTTCCTCAGGAAAACTGGAGTCAGTTTACTTCAAGATCCAGTAATTCCACTCTTAGGCATATACTCAAAAGATGCATGTCCATACAACAAGGACATCTGTTCAGCTATGTTTATAACTACATTATTTGTAATAGCCAGAACTTGGAAGCAACCCAGATGTCCCTCAACTGAAGAATGGATTGAGAAAATGTGGTACATTTACATAATGGAGTACTCAGCAGAAAAACACAACAGAATCCTGAAATCTGCAGGCAAATGGATGGAACTAGAAGAAACCATCCTGAGTGAGGTAACCCAGTCACAAAAAGACAAACAAGGTGTGTACTCACTCATATATGGAATTTAGACATAGAACAAAGGATTACCAGTCTACAATCCACACTGCCAGAAAAGCTAAGAAACAAGGAGGACCCTAAGAGAGACATACATGGTCCCCTGAAGAAGGGGAAAGGGACAAGATTTCTCAAGCAAATTGGGAGTATGGGGGGAGGGGAGAGGGAGTTAACAGGAAGAGGAGGGCAGAGGTGGGCATGAGGGATCAGGAAGATTGAGTTAGGGAAAGAATAGAGGAGAACAAGAATAGAGATACCACAATAGAGGGTACCATTATAGGTTTTAAGAGAAATCTGGCACTAGGTAAATGTTCAGAGATCTACAGAGATGAGCCCAACTAACAATCTAAGCAACAGTGGAGAGGCTACCTTAAATGCCCTTCCCTGATAATGAGATTAATGACTACCTTATATGCCATCCTATAACCTTCATCCAGTAGGTGATGGAAGAAGAAGCAGACACCCATAGCTAAACAATGAGCCAAAGTCTTGGAATCCAGTTGCAGAAAGGCAGGAGTGATGAGCAAAGGGGTCAAGACCCAGCTAGAGAAACCCAGAGGAACTGCTGACCTGAACAAGTGGGAGCTCATGGACTCCAGTCTGAATGCTGAAAAACCAGCATAAGACCGATCCAGACCCCCGTGAATTGGGTGTTAGGAGGACTGGGTAGTCTATGGGGCCTCTGGCAGAGGATCAATATTTATCCCTAGTATACAAATGGACTTTGGGAGCCCATCCCACATAGAGGGATACTCTCTCAGCCTAGACACATGGGGGAGGGCCTAGGCCCTGCTCCAAATGATATGACAGAATTCAAGGACTACCCATGGAAGGCATCACCCTCCCTGGGGAGCAGAATGGAGATGAGATGGGGGCTGGTCGGGTGGGGGACAAGGGAGGACAGGAGAGTATGGGAACTGGGATTGACATGTAAAACAAGCTTGCTTCAAATTTAAATAAAAAATTATCAAAGGAAAAATTTATTCCTAATAATATTCTGATATACTCATATAGTTTTGTGCCTAGCCCAACTGTGATCAGAGAAGCTTCACCCAGCAACTAATGGGAACAGATGCAGAGAACTACAGCCAAACACTAAGCAGAGCTCAGGGAATCCTGCAGAAGAGGAGGGGGAAGGATTGTAAGAACCACAAAGAAACCCATAGAACCAACTAAGCCGGGCTCATAGAGACTCACAGAAACTGAACCAACAATTTGGGAGCCTGCATGGGACTGTCCTAGGCCCTCTCTCTCTATATTATAGCTGTGTGGCTTGGTCTTCGCGTAGGACTCCTAACAGTGAGAGCAGGGGCTGTCTCTGACTTGGTTGCCCGCGTTTAAGACCCATTCATCCTACCAAATTGCCTCATCTAGCCTTACTAGAAGAAGAGGTGCCTAGTCTTACTGCGTTTTGATATACCATGGCTGTCTGATATCTGAGGAGAAACAGTGGAGAAGGAGCAAGTAGGGTGGGGGAGAAAGGGAAAAGTTGAGGGTAAGGAACTTTGAAGAGAGGAGCTAGGAGAAACTTTGGTTGGAATGTGAAAACAAACAAATAAATAAAAATAAAGAAATAAAATGATTTTATGTAAAAACAAAGAAAGAAATGATGATGAAGATTCTCCTTCCTCCTATAGTATAGATTCATGAAGTTCTGGGTCTGAGAACCCTTCACATACCTGACTGTAGTCTCTGATACTTGAATGAGGTCAGGCTATCACCCACTTCTTCTTCATCTGGGTTCTTAGTAGGGACCATCACAGGCGGCTTCCTAGACACAGAGATGTTTTTTCCCCCTCAGATGTCAGTGGAAACTGGAAACGGGACACCAGGACTGTGTACATGATATCCTGACATAGAATTCAGATCATCTGAATTTGAACTGCTTCCCTGAAACAGAGCTCTATGAAGGTCCCCATCCTCCTGGGTATCAATGGGGCCTGAACAAGGAGCATCTCAACTCCTCCTTTGCTTTAATTTGAATGTGTTCCCTATTGTTTACTCATTAGTGTGAGGGAAAATTAATAACTAAAAGATACGGGACTCATGGCAAGAAGGAGAAGCTAAAAAGAACAAGTGTTTTTGCCAATAGATATAGATAACTTCCTGACTGGATAGTACATTCTCCCTGCCCCCCATTATCTTAAGGACAAGGCCACTAAGCCCACCAGTCCTAGAGAAAAACAAAAAACAAAAAACAAAACAAAACAAAAAACCCTAACCTTTCAGGTGCGTTAAACAATCCCGCCTTGTAAAAACTTTGTACTCTATGAAATCTCTGTAACCTTGGAAACCTTATGGGCTGAGACTAGCAGTCTCAAACCCCTCTTTCCCTTTAAGAATGCTTCACAATTGTAAGCGGGCACCTTACTCTTCTGATAGAGTGAGGTTTCAGCTGGTTCGGTTCTTAGCAATAAAAAACTTTTGCTTTTGCAGTTGGGAGTCACTTCCTTGGAGGTTGAGAAAACCCAGTAGGCACAACAATTAGAAAGTTAATTCTCAATGTCATAGTGCTGATAGGATGAAGGATAAGACAGAATGAGGTCATGAATGCTGTTTTCATTAATGGGTAATGCCATCATCACAGGAGTAGATTCCTGTGGCCTGACAGGACTGGTCACTAAAGCCAATTGCCCTCACACTCTCAGCTTTCCCAGCTGCACAGTAGATGATACAGGAAGGGCTTCTCTAAATGCAGAGTCCATGCTCTGGTCCTTCCCTGTATTCAAAACTGAAGGAAACAATCTCAATTCTTTATGTGTTAAGAACCCAGCGTCAGAGTTATAGCTGCACAAAACAAACTAATAATCACTCACCCTGAATGCCAATCACCTTCTAATTTCTAATTTCTCTCCTTTCTGTTCTCCACTATCTCCCTTCACAGACTCCATCCTTGTCTCAGAATGGAGTGAGCATTGTCCTGAACCACTTTCACATTCTCTGGCAGGCATCCCTGATCATGTTCTGGTCTCTCCTAGCTTATTTTCTACATAGTAGCTGAGCATGAAAAGTGGGTGAAGATGCCCCTTCATGGATGAGACACTGGAATGACTCTTCATGGCCTCTGGGGAGAAACAGAAGGTTCTTAGCATGGTTCACAGTTCTTTCTGTGACTCATGACCCCCTCCAGGCCCTCCTATGTCACCCTTTCCTGCTCAAATCTAGACCAGTGTCTCTCAAATCACTGTGTTAAAACGTTGCCTGGCAGCCCGCTAAATCAGAAAGCTCACTGAAGGAAGCTGCTCCTCCTGAGATTCTGAGTCATTAGGGTTGGAGTGGGGCCTGAGAACCTGCATTTCTGTGGAGCTCCCAGGTGATGGAGAACAGATGGTCTCACACATGGTTTCCTGTCCCTCAGTGGAGCTGCTAATTCTGCTTCCTTGTTCTCTACCTCTGCCTGGAAATTTCTAATGCTTGAATCGTACTCACATTTCTCATCTTTGAGAGCTCACTTCAGTATAGGATGAGGTCAGACAGACAAACCACCACTGCACTCACAGGGTTTTCAGGTATAATTTTGTGGATTGTCGGGGAACAACTGTCCCCTCACTGCTGGTATCCAGTGATCAAAAATGAGGGGCCATGTCTGCCTTATTCATTGATGTGTCCTCAGACCTCAAACTATATGATGCACAGTGGGTCTTTCAAGAATATTTGTTCAATGAATGGATGACCATCCTATGTCTATAGGACCCTTCATTTTACATGTGGCACAACAAGTAGGAACTTGACAGATGGAGTTCATGGTCATGAACTGAAATTGACTAAACTGGGAGAAATGAGGCTTCAGCACAGCCCGTAGGGGTGGAAAATGACTTTTCTGTCCTGAGACTTTATATCCCATAGCACAGTGTGTGTGTGTGTGTGTGTGTGTGTGTGTGTGTGTGTGTGTGTGTGTGTGTGTGATACATACTCATTTGTATATGAGTGTGTGTGAGCATTATGGTTTGGACAGTGATGCCCATAGTGGGCTTATTCCTGTTAGAGTTTTATCCATATCTTTCTGAAATAGTTTCTGCTTTCAATGTTGCAGTGGTTTGGGTTTACTGGTGCCTATCATTGTCACAATTGCTGTGCCCAGAGGGCTCATCACTAGTTTACCTTTCATATAGCACCCTGCTCCCGGTTTTTTTTTAAAGATGGAAGAACTTATGTAGGCATGTTTTATGATTCTATTTTTATTGAAAAAGGAAAATAATCATATAATCCCCTACCACACAGAACACTTCCTCACTTTGATCACTGTGGTTCCCTGGTTTCTTCCTGGCTCTGTTTGTCTTACCATTGCCTCAGGACCCTTTCCCCACCTCAGCTCTGGAACAGCCACATAGGGCCTGGGTTGACCAGTAGGAGTTCTGTGTCCACCCTTACCATGTGCTAGAGATGAGCAGCTGTGGATTCTCTGACTCCAGGGCCCTGAGCTCCATCATCACCTGGTCACTGAGAGGGGCCTGGTCCAACCTGCAAGCACAAGAGGGGAGGGTTTCTTCTGGGATCCACCACAGGATCATGCAGCCTAAGGGGCCAGGACCCTGAACTCTGTTGTCTGTAGATGGAGCCAGTGAGCAGCCTTAATAAGGCTTATTCTTGAGCCTAAACTAGGACAAAGGATGGAGAGCAGCAGGCTGAGCTGAGGGAGATATGTCAGTGTGCAGGGAGATCTGACTCCTGGGTGAGGACCTTTGGAACTTTCCATAGCTAAAATGAGGGGCTTGTCCTTTATACCCCTCCACACAGGTCAGTCATTGGAAATATACTGTCCCAGGGAAGGTAACGTGGCCATATGAGGGGACTCAGGTTGGCAAAGAACCACTGAATAGCCATCAGCATTCCTAGTGACTGGAGGTCATAGACTTATCCCCATAGGGATTCTCCATGGAGAATTTCCATAAGCTCCTGTAGTGGCATACCATGGCCCTCCAAGGCTCCAGCTCTTATCTGTTCCAGAGCTTTCCCCAACTCAGCCTTCATCCTGGGATGCTGTCCTCAGGTTGACCCAACCAAAGCCTATTTCTCTATCAGACCTAGGAGAAACTTTTCTAGGCCATTCAATAAAACAGGCCCTCTCACAGAATTGCACTCATCAGAGCTTGTCAATACTGAATCATGGCTCACAGGTGACCTATGTCTGTCTCTTCCCACACAGCTTCAGCAGACAGAGCCATTTGTGTTTGTGATTGTATCTCTAGGGCCTAGACCAGAGCTTGGCACACAGGGGCCTGATATGGATACATGCATGGATTCATGGTTGAGTAAATGTTTGAAACACTACCCTGGAGTAAGGCAAATCTGGGATTCTGTTAGGATAATAGCCTTGCTAATACAGGATTGTACAGTGCCTAGCTACCTACCTGGCATCATCTTTTATATATGTACATATTGTGTCATTACAATCCATGATGTGGGTATGACATTATATTTGATAGATGAGGAAACTGAGTTCTAGAGAAGAAAGAGACTTACCAAAGTCTCTGGGTGTAAATGGCACAGCTTGTTGGGAGCCAGGCTGTCTATGCATTATCTCTCCTTCCCCCCTATGTCTTGTTATCTATTAACACACCCTTCTCTTGCCTCCTTCCCAGAGAGACTCTTGGGTTCTTACTTACCGCAGGATTCTGAGGTTGCAGGCAGGATTCCTGAGCTCCTCACACAGCAGCCTCACACCATCATCACCCAGGTCATTCAGCTGCAGGTCCAGCTCAGTCAGGCTGGAGCTGGCTTTGAGCACCGAGGTCAGGTCAGCACAGTGTCTGGACATGAGGCCACAGTTGACAAGCCTGCATGGGAGATGCTCACCATCAGCTTCTCCAGGGCTCACTGCTCTTGGGAAGTGAGCTCAGGTCTCCCTTTGGGAGCCCTAGCATGCTGTGTTAGCAGTGCTTAGCACTGTGGAGTGCCTTTTCTAGTCTGGATGGATAATGCCATGCTTCCCACAGCTGAGCAGCAGGAGCAGTAGAGTAGTACAGCTTGGGGATCACTGCTCTGTGGCCACTCGCCATGGCAGAGCTCCACAAGGTCAAGGACAGTTCACTGGTATATTTCAAGAGCCATCTGAAGTGACATTCACCAGACATAGATTAGGACATGGTCTCACTTTCCATGTGAAATATTAGTAAAGATGGCATTTGTAGATAGAGTAGATGGCTGGTTACAAGAGCAGAGGGCAGGAGGAAATGGGGAGATGCTGTTCCCTAGGCCTGGAGCTTCCTCCCTCCCCAGGATTCACTTTGTCTCTGTGTTCTTCAGTTCTCCTAGTCCCTTCCTCAGGAAGTTTGCTCTACTGGAGACCTCATGGTCCTGGTGTTAGCAATAGCTAGTGCGGCTCCTTGCTGAATGTCGGTCTCTCATGAGCCCCAAGAACAGAATCTTTTTATTTATCATAACAAGTCTTGTAACTGTTATAGGTGTGGTCAAGAGGGTATGGTGACTATTTGATGAATACCAAGCCTCACTCTAGACCTAGCTTTTGCCTTTGCTCTCCTGCCATCCATCTCTACTTCAGGAAAGAACCCAGGTCAGACTCACCACAATGTCTTTAGTTGGCAGCCAGGGCATCTCAGGGTCTTACAGAGATTCTGAACTGCAAAGCAGCTCAGTGGGTTTCCACTTAGGTCCAGCTCCTCCAGGCTTCCTGTGAACTCAAGAGTGGAAAAGAGAACCTGCCAACTGGCATTAGTGATTGGGGTCCACCTGGACCTGAAGGAGACAGACAGACATAGAGAGAGGGATATGAATCATGTGTGCGTGGTCTGAGGTGCACAGCCCCACACAATAGATTAGGTTTCTATTGTTTGAGCACCAGACTTCAATATGCCACCCCAGGATTCACCGACTTCTATATGCCCCTTTGCTCCAATATCTGAATCTTCTCCTTTAGCCAGTTTTTCATCTACATAGCATTATCATAGCATGCTGTGTGTTCATTTTGTGTGTCTGTTTTCTGTTTCTGACTCAGTCTAGGTGTCCCACAAGGTGTGAATAGGTGAATGACATATTTTCTTTTAAATTGATAGTGCCCAGCACAGGGCCTGGTATAATGGAGGACCTTGGTAATTCAGATAACTGTCTTCCTTTTCATGTGAATGTAACTGCTCTCATTTAGAACACAATTCTAGACTCTCATAAAAGAAAACTGAAAAGGGGAGATGGGAAGAGAACTCAGGAGAGGGGGCTGAGAACAACTATGTGGTGGGATGTTGAACATGATTATAAATGTGGTTATAAACACCACAGATATGTCGATTCACATGTCCCCCATATCTTTTCAAGAGAAGGGGGAATGGAGAGATAGATAGAGACAGGAAGAAACAGAGACACACAAGGAGACAGAGAGAAACAGAAGGAGACAGTTGGAGAAGTAAATTGACAGATATACACAGAGACAGAAAGAAAGAGACATACATATACAGACAGACACACACACACACACACACACACACACAGAGAGAGAGAGAGAGAGAGAGAAATTGAGAGAGAGAAAACATCCCCAGTGATAATGCATTCCTTTAATGCTAGAAAGCAAGCATACAAGGGCAGAAGATTGGTAAATTCTAGGCCAGTCTAAGCTACAAATCGGAAGGGGGCTGGGAGTAGCTCTGTGCCTGATATGTGCAACATTTGATCTTAAACACTCCAAACAAAACAATGAAACACACCAACCCCCCCCCCCCAAATCCAAAAGCACAGATTAGAAATGGCCAACCTTGACTGATACATAAAGTATATGATGTCTTAACTTTACAAAATCAGAGAATGTTAAGGAAACCAAATATTAAACTTTTGAAAAGCTTCATTTATTCTTTACTTCATAAGTGTTTGTATGCTGCTTATCTATGTGCACTATATGCATGCGGACGCCTGTAGAGGCTAGAAGCAGGGCATTGGATCCTCTGGGACTATAGTTAAAGGTGGTTGTGAGCCATCTATGTGGCGCTGGGAATGGACGCACACCCTCTGAAAGAGCAACAAGTGATCTCAAATGCTGAACCACCTGTAGAGCTTTCAAAGGATGGCAGTTTTGATGCACGTTTAGTATTTACTTTGACTGAAAATGTAACTACAGAATGTGCTATTCAAAGAACACTAGGCATCATTTATGAGCCACACATACAGAAGTTGCTTACCCTGCCATTTTTGATTCCTTGATTTTGGCCAAGGTTCACCTCTGTTTTCCTTGTGTGCAATGGTCTCCTTTCAGATCTCCCTGCCTGGTCTGACTTTTCCCCTCAATTTTACTTTCTCACTAGCAGTCAATGCCTTTCCTTTTTTCATGGGGTTGTCCCAAGGCTCCTAAGGCCACTGTACATGCAAGCAGGCTGGTGTTCCTTGTTTCTCTTGCCCTCACTGGTCTCTGTCTCTGTGCAGACTCAGAATTCTTCTGAAGCTCCACAGCAGACCACTCTACTTGCAGCATCTGTATCAAGACCCTTTAAGGCTCACTTTTTGTTATAACCACAGACACCAAGAAACAACTTATACTGGCCAAGAACAGAAAAAAATGATCCAATTCACTAGGGTATTCTCCTTGGGCAATATCAGAAGGCCATTCAGAATGATATTGTACTAGACCGCTAGTAACCAGAGAAGAAAGGCTTGATTCATTAAGAAAATAAATGAAAATATAAGATAACAGAGATTGTGTGGCTTAGTGTTCCCATATAAAAGTATATAGAGAAAAGATTAAAGGGCATACAGCATTTTTCTTTCATGCTGTGGATCAAACCCAGGCCTTGGGCTTATTAGGTGTGGTGTTTTGAATGGGATGTCACCCAGTCATGAGCATTTGAATGCTTGGTTCTCTACTTTCTGGGGGAGTTTAGAGGGTGTGGCTTTGTGGGAAGAAATCTGTCTCTGGGAGTAGGATTTAAAACTTCAAAGCCTTGAGCCATTCCCAGTACACTCTTTCTGCTTCCTGCTTGTGGTTCAAGAAATGAGCTCTCAGTTGCTACTCCAGTCACATCCTTTCCCTCTGCCATTATGGACCCTGATCCCTCTGGACCATAAGCCCAAATAAACTCGTCTATAAGTTGCCTTGGCCATGGTGTTTTATCACAGCAAAAGTTTGAGAAGACAGGTGTGCATGCTCAGCTACCCCTATTCTTAATGCTGTCCTCTCTGAGGAATGGAATTCTGGAGGATATTAATTTTTGTTGTTTTGATAATTGATAAATCCTCACTCTTCTAAAAACAAGCACGTTTTTATTAGTCTATCCCATTAATTTAAAACGAGAGTTCATTTAGATCACTTCCTATATGTGTGAAACACTGTTTGATTACATTTGTTCTCTGATCCATTTTCCCTCCTCTCCCCACCCTCTTCCTGTTCTCTAACCTTTGAGCCACTACTTTTAAGTTATTTGTTTTTCACATGGGCTCTTGCTTTGTTCAGATTGGCGACAAAGTTCTCAATTCAAGATAACTGGAATGTTCCTGGTTATCGTATGAGTCATGCCCTATGTAATTAGAGTATGTGGCTGTCTTCTCTCTCAGTGTTGAACTCCTCAGGGCAACAACTGAATTTTTCCTCTTGTGATTGATTAGCAGGGCCTGACATAAAATCAGTGCTTAATGAATCATCTAGAGAGGAGAGAGACACACACTGATACTGGATCACCACTCCTCCCCAGTGGCACTGAGTTTGGTGGGAAGTTAGGAATCCTTTAGGCAGAGTGCCAGGGCCATGCCACCTTCATTGACACATACAAGGAAGTCATCTGGGCAGGGAAAACATTAGGACAGTCACACATATGCCTCCTGAGGTGTTGGTAGGAAGACCTTAGGGATACGGTCATTGTCACTGGGATATGAGATGGTGAAGGCAGGAGCTGAATGAGCGGTTTCTCATAGACAAAAGATACTATGAGAAAGTACCAGTAACTGTCGGGCCATTTGAACCTTGTGAAGTATGAAGATTTGAATCACAGCAGGTGGGTGGTCCTCATTGAGGCACACAGAGAGATAAGAGCTCATAGCCCCACCATATAGTCATGCACACTGAGGCAAGTAGAGATAGATGGTCAGATTCAGCAATTAGATGCCATTGATGACCAGTATCCTGCTGCCTTGGGTCCAGCTAAGAGTGCTGGTGGTGCTGAGAACATGGGTGCTCATGGGATTCACAGGGAAGCTGGAGAGAGGGCTGTCTGGATACTCACAGAACCATCCTATGGGCCATCAGTGTTGGTTCCTGCTGTTCACCTCCATCCAGCTGAAGCCTCTTCACATGGCGGCAGAACTTAATGCAGAAAGTGACCACCATGAGGTCCACGTCTGTCTGGACCACCAGGTGCTTCACATTGGACTGGAGCACTGGGTGTTTCATATCCATTGGGGCATTCACACCTGCTCCTTGATAAGTGTGCATCACTTCTGTCAGGACCTCCTTATCCTGGATCTCATACAGACAATGGAGTAAACCCAGAGAATATGGTTGATGGCAAAGGGCTTCCTCCAGGATGTGCCACCTCAGGTTCAGCTTTATCTCCCAACTCAATGTGCAGGTGAAGATCTTCTCTATTTCCCTAATTCCCTGTTTACTCAAAAGACCACATAGAAAGCGCACAGTGGGTACCTCAAACAGGTCATATCTTCCATAGATGTCCTTCAGTCTTTCCACAATTCTGCAACTATCTATATAATCATGTCCTGGCACATTATTCTCCAAGATGTAGGACATTGCTGCAAAGAACTCCTGGAGACAAAAGTGGGCAAAGCTGTAACTCAGAGAGTTGGGCTGCTTTTGAAGGACACCCCTCTTCAGGAAAGTGGCAATGACATCACCAGGTAATCCTCGGATCCTAAGATCTATATCTCTGAACTGGGTCCTTCTTCTCCAGATCCCCTCAGCAGCCAGTGAGCACAGCTTTCTGAGATGGGTTCCTAGGGCACAACCTTGAAGAGTCTGGGAAAGGTATTTCAGGCAGAGTGCTGTGGTGGTCTGTGAGGTCAGTGAGAGATCTCTTCCTTGTTCCATCTGCTGCTTCAGGCAAGTGCAGACCAGCCAAGACACCCAGGGCACCGCACACAGTGTGGAGAGCACTGGGTTTGATTCAACCAAGCTAAAAGCTGCAGTTGCTTCTCTTTCCTTTAAAAAATATTTTCTGAAATATTCCTTCCATCCAGATTCAGAGAAACCCAGGACTTCCACCCAACGTGGCTGCCCCAAAGAAGGAATGAACTTTTGTAGATCTGTGGTCCGAGCTGTGAGCAGCAAGGAAGCCTCAGGCAGGACAGATTTCCCCAGCAAACTGCCCAGCAGTGTGTGCAGAGGCTGTGGCTGGCTCCAGTGCAGACAGAACTCAGGATTCATCTCTTGCAGGACCCACATTGGCTCATCTATGCCATCCAGGATGAATAGCAGCTTCTCAGGGTGAGACAGGATCTTTCTGATGGGAGCTGTAGGCATAGCCTGGTCTTTTGCTATGAGCCCAGCCAGACTCAGCTGCTTGCATTGGGCCAGCTCTCTGCAGCTGAAGTAGAAGACATGCTGGAAGTGATCTCTGTAGAGCTGGCCTTCCTCCCAGGCTCTCCTCACCCACCTGGCCAGCGTGGACTTCCCAATCCCAGCAGCTCCCTCTAATATGACTAACTGAGGCTTTTCCTTGGTATCTGGAGTTGGGTGAAATAAGTCTTGGATCTCAATCAGATGTTCTGTCTTTTCTCCTTTACTTTTATGCCAGCTTTTTCTGACCAAGGTCTCCCACCTTCTTGGATAAGATTTTTTCAGAAGTAGTAGCTTTGTGAAATTTTGGAGGAAATCCTTTGTTTTCCACAACTCACTGTGGTAAAGGTTCTTTCTTCTTTCTCTCCGTTGCATGTCTGAAATGAATCATAAATTAGGGAAGAAAGATGGAGCATAAGTATACATAGTAGAGTTGTTTGTTCTTTGATTCTTTCTTTCCTTTTTCTCTTACTTCCACCTTTAAATAGTTGAACGAATTTAGGCATTTGTCTAAACTGTGCAATAGACTGATTGTGGGTGCTGGAATATCTTGTAGTACAAATAATATGAGCTTTAGAATAGAAGAATCTCTTGTTCAAGTCATCACTTGACCTATAATAATTCTGTATGACCTTTATCCACACACCAGATACTTATAAATGTTTGTTACAAAATCCAGCTTAAATAAACACTGGTCCTCCAAATGGCAGTTCGAAAAGTTAGGCGCTGTGCTCATTATAGAACCGAACAGATAAAGCTGACTGGAAGCTTCCCCAGCAAAGCATTCAATCAGCAGCATGTTTAAAGTAGAAATCCAGTCAGTGTTCCAACCACTTGATTCCAAACCAAGTAGATTCCATGTTTAGAAACACTAAACATGTATTTCATTGTAAATACAGAAGGAATAAAACATCACTGATCAGTCCAGAGACTACCAAGAAAACAGTACGAGGGAAGCTGTAAATTCAGTTCATTTTGCTCTTCTCTCAGGCATTCAGAGCCCACAATATCTGCAAATGCCACTAACATGATGGCCCTTTACTCTTTCAGAATATTATGTTGTTGTGTATGTTCGTACATTTACTACCTGGCTGAGTAACCTGGTTAGTCCTCACTCTGGGAAGCCATTCATTTGATCATGTGAACACCATTTTAAAAGAAGACCCCACAGGAAAAGGTGAAGTCATAACAGCTCATATGCATCACAAAAAAATATGCAAGTTCTAAGTCACAGATGGAAATGCTGCAGTATTCTCCTTGGAGTCAGATTTTCCTTTAATAGAAATTGGTGGCAAAAGATTAAAAGTTGACTGCATGTGTTGGGGTCAGAATGTCCAGGATCAAATATCGGCTTTGACTTAGTGTCACTCACTACTTAATAAGTTAGTGAAAGCAAGGCAGGCACTCCATTAAAGCTAATTAAAGCACACTCCATAGCCTACTGTTTCCACGAAGTTGTTGGTTTTTTTTTTTTTGTTTGGTTTGTTTGTTTTGTTTTTAAATGGACTTTCCATGCTAATTACCCCTGGAGACTGAATTCTTTTCATCTTATACACTCAGTTTTGTTATTTATCTTTCACTGTAGTAGCATCTTGCCTGTGAACCTGAAACAGTGGCCACACCCTTTGGGCGTGGTTACAGGTGTGGATGTGACTAGTTTAAGGTAGAGGAGTGGGGAAGGAAGCCCCTTGGGTCACAGAGAGTATTGGGGAGGCAAGGTCTGTATCATTCGGGCAGTTACTTGGTGTTATCTGTGTAAAGTTAACAACAATAAACACTTAATTATCATTCATCTCGGGTCTGTGAACTCATCATAACACCTTGCTTTTATTTCACAGTTCATGCCAATAAGAAGACCACTTTCTTATGTCTTAAAAAAAAATTAAGCCAGGGACCATTTCCAAAATCCCTCCACCAGTTACAAGATTATTATGAAAGGCAGTGTAACAGTGTATTGATTTAATGAGGGTGGTGATTTGAGGGGAGAGGGAAAGAAAGACACAGTTGGTGAGAGGAGAAATCAATCATATAAATGCAGGAACAGCTATTAAAACAGTAGAGCACAAAACAGTAACTGGAATCAGCATTTTCTTACAAGGAAGAAAACCTTTAATCACCATTGCATAATTCACCTATATGAAATAAAAATTGGTTTTGAAAAACATTAGTAGAGAATATGCTCTAGAAAGTGGAGGTAAAGATACAAAAACTCTGGCAGCGATTTAATGGAACAGTCACAGATGGTCAGCTGAGGATGAAAGCCTTGTCTGTGGGGGGATTTTGGACGATGCCTGTAGAAGTATTACACTGTACATAAATCAAACTGAATCATTTTACAAATGTCACGAAGATTCATATAATCAAAGTTCTTTTCTACATGCACTTCAATTCAATGGCAGGAGTGGCATAGAACACTTAAACATAGAAGAGAGCATTCATGCAAGATGTCTAACTCCTTGATATAATAATGCATACACTTCAAAATGGTTACACCCAGGGCTTTCTGCAGTTTCAAGATGGTGGTCATGAAGGACATGGCCCCCACTATCAACATCTAGAAAGCAGCCAGCACTTCCTGTGTATTTTCTCTTTTTGTGCTTTTTTCTTCTCCATTTTTCTTAATCAACTCTGCTGTTTTTGCTGCTTCTTAGTGAAACTGGTGAAAACAAAATTATAATCATTGACCATAGCACTCTGGCAACCAAGGTGTTTAAAAAATTTAATCTTCTGGGGTGAAGAAAGCACTGTGTAATGTTTAGAACTCCTATTAACAAACAAGATGGTCACAAATTTTCCTGGCTTGAAGATTTCTGTAAGCTTCCTGATCATAACTAACGTAAGAGAATTCTGGCTCTGGAGTGATGTGAATAGTCCAATATATCATTGAGTAGCCACAAGGATTGAACAGTGTGGCATCTATGACAGAGCCTGGTATTGGGCCACAAATTTCATTCTCATGAGTGACATCCTTTGGAATCACACCATCTTTCATGTAGAACTGGTCCATAACTGCTAAGTCAAGCTCACTCATCAGAATTGCCAAGGTTTGATCCAGCTGATTGATTACTCAGCTCTTTGGGAAATCCAAAATATATGAGTACCAACAGTCAGAATTCATATATTCCATACAATATGCTATTCCATTTTGGAAAATTGCATTAAGAAACTCGATTTCTTCCTGGAGATTCCGGTGTGGGTATGCTTGATGAGAAGACTTCATAAAATTCTTATGAGAATAAAAGAAGCTTGGAATGAAACCCACTGTAATCCCTAGCAAGCTTCAGTGGAAGAACCAATGCTTTCAGGAAAAGGGTGGTATGACATGTCTTCAAAATGAAACGTCTCTTGGAGACAAACATGCTTCCTGCTTGTCATTCTTTGTCACACTTATGATTGAGCACTGCGCATCCTTCAAAAGGTCATCCCACACAGATCTCAAGATGGTGCCAAGATTCCCAGATCCCTGGCTTGTGTGGGAATGCTGCCTGGAGAACCAGACCTCCTGCAGTTTCTGGGTCCCTTTGGGAAAGTGCAGTTTCCATCACTGTGAGACTAGTTAACAACCAACAACCACAGAAAATCAACTAAATTAAATCTCTTTTCCGGTTGCTTCCACCACCAATCAGTATTGTTCCAGCTGTGTCACTAAAGTTCAGGTTCATTTTTTGTTGGCTATAATTTTATATTACATTTAAAAAAGGCTAATAAAATTTTCCAGCTATTTTTTGTGAGCAAAATTTGAACATGAATCTGTTGGAAATAGAGGCAGATATAGTGAAGTCTCTTGTCATCTGTTGCTTTCCCATTAGAGAGAGTTTAGTGAGTGCTAGCTAATGTCGCTGCTCACACTGTGTAAGCCTAGTTTTTTTTTTTAAGCTGAGCAGTCATAGTCTCTATTTGGACTTCCGGACTCCAGAACTATAATTTAATATACATGTTCTAAATAAAACCCCCAAACCACTGGGCATGGTGGTGTAATCCTATAATTCATCCTGTAATTGATAATATGTAATAGAGAAGCCATGCCAGGAGCCTTTAATTCAATGAGCTGTTCAGTTACGGTGACTTCTTAGTCCTCATAGCTTCATAGTTGCTGTTTTTTGTTTCCAAGGCTACCGTATTCCACAGGTGTTATTGCATTTATATGTTTCTATAGATGTCTGAACTGCTTCCTATTTTCCTTTTTTCCCCTTTGTTCTGAATGTGGAGTGGTGGGACGGATTAAGTCAGTTGATGTCCTTTAAGTGTGAGTCATATTTTAAGTCCCTGGATTCTACAAGCTTACTGCCAGTTGGAAGTAGAAGGAATGCTTTTCTTCGAGTGTAGCTCAGATTGCGAAGGTGGCATCTTCTACTGCAGAGAGGCAGTATTGCTCAAGGTCAGGCCTTTGGCACTCACAGCCTGTACTTCCCTGGCTTTGGCATTGGCTGCCCTCATTGCTGTAATGTCAGAGAGGGAGACAGAGGCGTGGTGAATTTTGACAGTGAAAGTGAATATAGTTCTTCAATTGTGAGTCTTCACTTCTCTAAGCCTCGCTCGCTCTTCTTGTCCTCAAGGTGGCACAGTAGCAGTCTCCCTCTCAAGTGTGTTTGTGAGATTGACATGCAAGTGAGATGTGAGTGAAGCCCTGGTCACAGGGCCTTATGTAAGTGGGTGCTCAGCAAACACCCGACCAATGGGAAGTGAGTGATGAGGGGTCCTGTGCTAATGGAGTCTCCTGTCTGTCACTTCCCTGCCCAGAGAGCCAGCTGTGTTCTCGGGGCTGGAGAAGACACTGCCCTCAACTCCAAGAGCCTGGTGGTAGTGCCCTGCCCAGCAGTGAGATTCCAGGGGCAGGATTTCTAGGGCTGTGCCAAGGGCTTCCAGGTCTGGGGTGCTATGCCTGTGCACATTTTCCCAGGGGACTGAGTCTTTGCTCATACCTTGTGTCACCTTAAGGAGCTCATCTCACTTGAGCAGTGAATTTTTAACTTTCAGCTGGAGGCCACCTTGTCCTAGGAGCTTCCTGATTGCTGTGCTAGGAGGAGGTTCCCAGTCCTCAGACAGGGTTGGTGACTCTTAGCCTGGAAATTAATGATCTGGAGGTGTGGCTGTAAAAGTTTGGTGAAGGTGTGAGCATGGCTTTCCCAGTGAGAAAGAACAAGGAAGAAACAGCCAGTCCCCCAACACCCACTGTGCTTCAGACACTTAATGTCTAACTCTCACAATACTCCTGTGAGATGGCATGAGGGCTGGTGTTGGCAATGTTACAGAAACAAAGCTAGCAGAAATGTCTCTGGGAGGATTATGAGGGATAGGCTAGGTTAACTGAGGTATGCCCACCTTAGTATCAGGTGGCACTACTTGAGTCCTGGAGTCCTGGACCGAATAATAAGTGCCAGCATTTGATGGGGGATGCTCTTCTGTATATATGTTTTCCTTATTGGTTGATGAATAAAACACTGATTGGCCAGTAGCCAGGCAGGAAGTATAGGCAGGGCTACCAGACAAGAAGAATTTTGGGGAGAGGATGCAGAGAGAGGCAGCCAGAGGAGACATCATGTAGCTTCAGAAGGAGTAATAGGTCTACCAAGATAAGACCACGTAGAAATATATGGATTAATAGTTATGGGCTAATAATTAAGAGAGAGAGCTAGCCAGTAGGAAGCCTAATCCGTCAGCTATACAGTTTATGATTAATATAAGACTCCATGTGTTTATTTGGGGCTAAACAGATGTGGGACCAGGTGTAACAGAAACTCCGTCAACAAGCATTCTTCTGTTTCTGTTCCCAACTAAACACAACGTGACCAGCTGTTTCAGTCACTGTAGCTATAGAGTTTTGCCATGAAAGACTGCATTCTTGCTCTATAAACAACATAAACCTGTTCTACCTTAAATTGCTTTTTGTCACAATTACATGATGAACAATTAATACCCATGGGTTAATAAATTTAAATAGGTTTCACTATGTAGTTCAGGTTGTTTTGATCTCAGGCATCTATAACCTAATATGGGGTGGGAATAATGGGCTGTGAAGGGAAAGACAAGTGTTAGGTTTGGATAGGATAGGATTTTCACAGAGCAGCAACAGGATGAAGGAGGAGGAAATCATTTTTTCAGGCTCCCATTGTTCTAAATTCTAGCTCTGAATCTGTTTCTATGTGCTGTTAGCTTGGACAAGTTAACCTCTTTCTCTAGACATTGTGCACTGGAGAGAGGTGGCTACTTTGATGCTTGAGAAGAGGAAGAGGCAAGGGTATGGCCTGGGTAAGTGGATGTGAGAGAAGTCAGTAGAAGAAACTGGCTGAAGCTGAGGCAGGAGCCTACCTTCTTCTCGGGGTCCATCTCAAGAGAAGAGATTTTCTCGGAGCTTCAGAACCTGCATGACTCCTGGGATCCTCAGTTCCCACTCACATTTTGAGCTGAATTTTGGATGCCAGTTGGGATAGGCTCTCTGCTGATCCCCATGGGTTCCAGGTTCCCGTTGTGTCAAATGCAACTTCAGCACTGCAGAGCCCAGAGGGATCACCTCTAGCCTGTGACTCTTAGCTCTCTGCCATGGCTGCTCTGCCCTTCCATTTAAGTCTCTTATTTCAGGTTATCATACAGGTGGGAGCTCCCTGGTGAAGACCCACCATCTGTGTGCACCAGAACTCTAATCCACAGCTGATGGCTCAGCTTACCTTGGCTCTGAATCCAGACTTGTAGGTGCCCATTTAACAAACTCCTTACCTGATATTGTCATTGATCTCCAAGCTTCATAGCCTAACTTCATTACTGGGGATACGTGTTCGCCAATAAAGGGATACTTGTAGGGTGTTGAGTATCCTGGAAATGATGAAGAATATGCTATAGGAAGAAACAGCTGTTGTGTGCTTATCAGAGAAGCAGCAGTAGGAGTAGCTGGGTAGCAAGGCTGAGGTCCTTCCTCCTTACCATCATACCCTTCTCTAGCCTCCTAGAGAGAAGGATGCTCTTACAGTGCTGCAGGGAAACAGTCCTGCATTGGGAACATGAAGTTCACACACCTATGTTGGTCTATTCTAGTACTTGTGTGAATCTCTATTCCTCTCTGAGCCTCAGCTCCCTTATGTGGGTGTCTGAGCTTCTGTCCCACAGGGATAGGTAGGATCTCATGGTGTAGTTCAGGCTAGCCTTGAGCTAAGACTCATCCTGAATCAATTTCACAGGTTTTGGGGTTATAGGAATGTGTCAATGACCAGCTAGTAATCTTATTTTTGAAGTCATGATTTTTCTTAGTGTTGGATCTAAAACTTCTGGGTGGATATAATGTCCATGAAGTATAGATTCTGACAAATGTCTTGGGGGCTTAGCTGCATATTTCAAATGATAGCTAACAGTATCTAAGTACGTCACAGAGAGGAGGGTGAGCATCTTTAAAATGCAGTTTTGATGTGCAATGAAACATGAGCATGGAAGCTTGGGATGGAGTGGAAGTGTTTTAATGGAACAACAGGCAAGCTGTGTGAGAGGAGTCATTTAATCTCTGCTTCAGCATCCTCCGATGGTGGAATGAGAAGTCAGTGTGGCCTCAGAAGGCAATGGTATTTGATTCAGTAGTCAACATTTCCAAAGCTTACTGTGGGGTAGGAAGAATGAACTTTGAAAGGAAAGACATTAGCAGGGGCTTCCATACTGCAGCAGCAGGATGGAAGAGGAGTCACTGATTTCTCAGGTACTGAGTGTTCTAGAGTGCAGCCTTGCATCTGTCCCTATTTGCTGTGTGCTTGTACAAGTTAACCTCTCTCTCTAGACATTGTGCACTGGATAGAGGTGGCTACTTTGATGCTTGAGAAGAGAAAGAGGAAAGGGTGTGGCCTGGGTAAAGTGAAATAAGGGAGTCAGTAGAAGACACTGGTTGAAGGTGAGGCAAGAGCCTACCCTCTTTTCAGGGTCAATCTCAAGGGGATAGAACTTTGAGTTCCAGAACCTCCATGATCCCTGGGATCTTCAGTGCCCACTCACTATTTTGAGCTGAATTTTGGATGCCAGTTAAGCTAGGCTCACTGCTGACACCATGGGTTCCACATTCCCGTTGTGTCAAATGCAACTTCAGCACTGCAGAGCCCAGAGGGATCACCTCTAGCCTGTGACTCTTAGCTCTCTACCATGGCTGTTCTGCCCTTCCATTTAAGTCTCTTATTTTAGGTTGTCATACAGGTGGGAGCTCTCTGGTAAAGAACCACCATCTATGTGCACTGGACGTCTAATCCACAGCTGACAGCTCAGCTTTTCTTTATTTTTGCACCCAGACTGGTAAGGTTCCCTTTTAACAAGTTTCTTACTTACTTCTCATCAGAGTGTCTGAGGTTCATGGCCTAAGCCCAGGAGTTCTGGTGAGATGCCCTAGATAAGAGACTCCTTGCTAAGTGCCCCCGCCCTTGGAGCCTGAAATGAGGAAGAATGGGCTCTGGGAAGGAAACAGTTGTGTGGTTGTCAGAAAGGCAGGGAGGGGTTGGAGCCCTGGGATTCAGCCTGTGTCCTTCCTGCTTGCCCTCACAGCCTTCTTCACTGTCACATGGGAAGAATGATGCTCTCAGTCTTCCTGCTGAGAAATGGTCCTGCTCTGGGACCACGGAGCTCACACATATGTCCTGTCTCTACACTAGTCCTTGATGGGAGTCTCTAGTCTTCTCTGTGAGCCTCATCTCTTTCATGTGGGGCTCTGAGCTTCAGTCTCACAGGGTTGCAAACTACAACGGTAACAGCAGCAGCAATTGCATGGGCTTGTATTTAGAATACCTGAACTTTTGTTGAATATTACAATGTTTAATATTCAATGTGGATTATCACTGTACTCCCACAGTCCAAGGAAATACTTTTTGCTTTTCTATTGTATCACAGATGAAGACTTGAGGCTGAGCACTCTAAAGTGACTTGTCCAGGGTGGTAGAGCCATGCCTGGAGTCTGCCTCTGCCCAGCTCTAAAGCCTGGGCTTGCAACTCAAATGTCACCAAACCCTTCTTTTGGGAGCTGGCTGGAACCCTGTGCTCATTCCTCTCAGAGCCATTCTGAATGCCAACCTCACCACACTTCTGCGGCTTCCGAGTGCTCCTTCACAGGGTCCTGAGGATGCACTCCTATAGAAGAGGGTGGGGCGCCAAGCTTCACTTAGGGGTCTGCATAGTCCTGGGTCCAGACTCTCCTGGACTTGTGTATCTTTTTGACAGGAGGCTAGCCTGTCCATGGAAACCCTGGCAGGAGGGCTCAGTGGCGATGAAGGGGTAACAATAGTTGTGAGTTGGGGGTCCTTATTTTACTTACTTAGTATCAAGTCCTTCTCTGCCTTGGCTTTGGTCTGCTGCATCTCCAGCTCCTTCTGCTTCCTCTTGTCATGGGTGGTGTCTGAGGCCTGCTGACCCTTATGCTGAGCCTCCTCAGTGGCACCCACCAACTCGGGCTGATCTTCCATGGTGATAGAGCCCTCAGATGAGGCTTGGCTGTGCAGCTCTCACTGGTCCTGCTTCACTCCTCCCTTCTGTTGTTGCTCCAAACAGGAGATCAGTGCATCCTTGTCTCCACCAACCTTTTCTGCTCGGGAAAGGGTGTTTGATCAGGATTGATGGAGGAGAGCTGGAAATAAAAGGAAGGGCAAAGCAACCTGTAAGGGGACAGATTGTCCTCTGATCAGAATGCCTGAAGGACTCAGGTCTTTCCTGGGGATGGAGACTGTGTGTCCAGGTGCAGGGGCTTGGGCAGAAGAGGGAATTCTGGGAGGAAGGCTTATTAGTGATGTGTTCTTTATAGTTTCATGACTGATGACAGTGGGTATTCTCTACTGTGCTGGTTCTCCTGTTAGGTAGGTGTGCTTATCATTATGCTGAGTCTGGGGTTCTCAGTTTGTCTAAAGTTTCTAGTTTTTGGTCATTAAGGTCATTTGTTTGACCCTGAGGACTGATGAAAGGAATGGGAGTTTATTCTGTCATTGTCTGCTTCCTTCGGGAGGGGAATGATGGATGTGGGGCCTAGGCTCTGTCCCCAGGGTTTAATGGGGCAAAGGTTGGGATACTTCATGAACCAGGAAAGGAGATTTAACTTGATCTAGTGCAGTGGATCTTGTGATTGCCACCATTATCTCCTGGAGAAAGCTTTGCAAACAGATAGGCAGGGGCTGTGGTGAGTTAGATGAGACTAAAGACAGGGGACCCAGTCATCTCCTAGCCAGGGCAGCTATTGTCCCAATGTGTACCTAGTGATAGCAGTGATTTGATCCAGGAGGAAATTGTGTAAAACTTTTCAAGAACAGGGTAAAAATGGCATATAAAGATAAGGAGGAATGGAGAGATTAAGGGAAGGAGCCAGAGTGGACAGAAGAAAAGCCCATCCTTAGGAAGATAACTGTCACTGAATCATGTCTCATCCTTATGTCTTTGGACTTCTGGACTAACTTGAGTTTGATGGTGTAGAAGCTGTTGGAACCCCGCAGTCTGCTGACCCTGTCCGTCGTCAGGGGGCTTGGTTCCAACAGAAGCAGTGCTCTTCTGGAGGAGAGCAAAGTTCCCACCATTAACAGTAGATCTATGTTTCTTTATCTCTGAGAACCACAGTAGCAAATACTTGGCTCAGGCATAGCCATGAAAAGTGATGGAGAAGGAGTAGAAATGTGGGCATCTGGAGAATGGAGGGAACTGTAGGGATGTGAAAGCAAGAGGATGAAAGGATGCAGGACATGGGGCATAACAGCTTGGAGGAGTAGAGGATGCTAATCAAGGAGAAGGGTTGGGGATGGAGGAAATGGGTATTGGGATTACAGGGACAGGAGCATGTGAGGATAGGAAGACAGTGATGGAGAATGCAAGGATGGAATGTTCAGGACACTCACTATTCTGTATTCCTTACCCTCTTCCTTTTCTTGTGTCCTACTCTAAGGAGATCAATCCTTTGGCAATCATTGTGGCAGATGGTGAGGTGGGGAGAGGTAACACAGAGGGGGACTCAAGAGTCCAGTTCAAGTTCAGGCTAGGTCCTGTGAAGGAATCTTTAGAAGTCTCCTGTCCCTGGTACCACATGGGGGGAACAATCCAGAGACAACTAAGCTAGAAGGACAAACAACTCAGAGAAACCAAAGAGCCACATGGACAAAAGAGGGGTGGGGTTTAAGCTGACCCAAGACTTTCTCAGAGGTTCTGATGAAAGGACAAAGGGAACATTACATCTGTGTCCTTTTCCCGGAGTGGACTTGGTGAGGCTGGTCTGGTAGTGGGGCCAGTGCCTTGTAGGAATTAAAGTTATAGCTTCTGGGGACCCAGCTGTTCTTCTTGGGATGTCCTAAGGCAGCAGTATCTGAGGGATCCTGTTATTTTTACAAACATTGTCTGAGTTAGCTCTGTGCCTTCCTTTGCCATCTTCCCTTCCCAATGGCCTATATGATGCTGTACTTTTAAATAAATTTGCATGGCATTAGTCATGAGATTATGCAGGAATTGCTGCTCCCAGCTATTGCTTTTACCTTCTTTACTCATTATTCTTCATCTTCCCTCTTAATACTTTGCCATTCATGACCCTTTTTTCCTGCAGCTTCAGGTCAGACAGGAGAGAGGAGGGTGCAGGATAGGCTATGACAGGAGCAAGCACATGAAGCATACAGGTGAATCCAGCACCTCCCACCCACCAGAGTTGGGCATTAGAGTACCCAAGCAGAGGCTGGAGCCTGAGCTCTGGCTCTCAGGATGCATCCCCATGTTGACCACAGTATGTCTTAGTGCAGTCAGACCAGCATTTATCTTCCCACAACTCAATTGTTTGGTGGACTCTCTTGGTCCCACTACTCACCCTGATCTTCTATGGGGCTCACGGATGTGTGTGTCCCTGGCCAAGTCTCCTCGGCTAGAAATCATATTCTGTGAAAGTGAAAGAGGCTCTGGCTCCTCCAGGAAGCCAGGAGTCAGAGTCTGCGCAGAAGTTCTTCTGAATCCTGGGCCTTCAATATTATTCAGCTCATTTCCTGTTGTGAAATCTCTGCAGATGTCTGGTCTGGAGGACTCAGGGCTTGCGAGCTTCATCCATTCTTGCAGAGGCCCTGACTCCTGAGGGCAGGACTCATGTCTGAGCCTCATTTCTACTAAAGTGGGGTCTCCCAGGTTTGCCAACAGGTTCCAGTTCAGCAGAAGCTCCTGGATCTTCCAGATTTGTGGATTTCTGCACTTCCTCCTTCCTGTAGCCTGCCCAGCCCATGGGCTCTTCATTTCAGGAAATGGCTCTCAGGCCCCAAACCCTGGGTCTTTGCTCACTCCTAGACTCTCCCAAACCCCAAATCTGGTATTTGATTCCTACTAACATCTTTTTTTTTCCTGTTGGTGGGTTGTGTGTATGCATGTTTGTGTGCATGTGGAGTCACATGTGAGTACATGTGCGTGACCCAAGAGCTTATGGATTTGTCTAGTCTAGCTAGTCATGCAGGTGGGGGTACTTCTTGTTTCCTCCTCCTGAGCTCTGGGATTACAAGCCTTAGCCATGCCCAGCGGGCATTTGTGAGGATACTGTGGGTCAGAGCACATGTTCTCATGCTTGCATAGCAAGTGCTTTATTCACTGAACCATCTCCCCAGCCCTGACATTGGATTTTTAACAGATCTGTAATCTGAGTCTTCTCACTGAGCCCAAGGGACAGCTGGTCCAGCCAGCATCCTGGGTCTCTGCTCCAGCTTCCTAACTCTTCATGCTGATGCTCTATATTCTCCATCTTGAAGTCAGAATCACAGTCTAATATGTAGACTTAGTTTAGAGAACCACCTTACCTCTTTCTCCCAGTCCTCTCTGAAAGAAATACAGGTCCTTGCACTGGGTTACTCATGGCCTGACTCATCCCACCCTGCCCTGTTTGTCTCACTCTTCTCGCAGTCTCTTGTGGGCCATCTGGTCTACCTTCCTACTGCTCCACATTTCTTGAACTCACCAGGAATGTGTTCACCTCAGGACCCGTGCCCTGGCTTTACCATTCTTTTGGAATGACTTTCTACTAAGTAGGAACTTGCTGCCCCCTTTCTGAAGCAGCGCTGCCTTTCCAAAACTTACCTTCCTTTATTCTTTGGTTTGACACTTGCTATCTATGAGCACAAACTCACTTTCCTCTATCATTTCTACTACAAATAGAATGGAAAATCTTGGAAGACAGGACTTACATGTTTGTTGAGTTTCATGTCCCCTGATCCCAAGTTATTGCCTGACCTGTGATATCAGCACAGTTCTCACAGTATCTGAGAGTTGGTTATTTCTTAATATTAATATTTATTTGTGGTACCTGCATGTGTGTGTGCATGCATGTGTACGTATGTGTGTGTGTGGTGTGATATACGTATATACACATGCCATAGATCAGGTGTACAAATCATAAGATAAGACAGCATTCAAGAGTCAGTTCTCTCTTTCAGCCATGGGTAACCCTGTGGTCTGATTCAAACATCAGGCTTGGTGGCAGGGGCCTGTTGTATGAATCTTTTCCTGGGAAAACATTATTGACACAGGAGGGCCATGCCCATTGTGGGCAATGCCACCCCCAAGGAGGTGGTCCTGGGTTGTTAACAAATCAGGCCTAGCAATCCCAGGGAGCAAGCCAGTAAGCAGCATTCATCCTTGGCCTCTGCTGTAATGCTCTGGTAAAATATTCCCTGATACAATATATTTTGAACATTCAGACCACTCCAACTTCCACCAACAATGATTAAGAATTCCTCTTTCTCCAGACCCCCAGCAGCATTTGTCTTTTTCTGTTTTGTGAGTAATCATTTTGGCTGTGATGAGACACGGTGGTGGTTTGAGTGAAAATGGCTCTATAGCTCATATATTTGAATGCTTATCTTCAGTTTGTACAATGGTTTGAAGAGGATTTGAAGTGTGTTCTTGTTGGAGGAGGTGTGTCACTAGGGGCTGACTTTGAGGAGTCAAAGCCCACACAGCCCCCTGTCTTTCTGCCTTTTGCTCATGGATTAGGATGCAAGCTCTCAGCTACCCCTCCAGCCCTAAGCCTGCCTGCTTGCTGCCATGCTCCTGTACATAATGGTAAGGACTCCATCCATCAATGTCAAATGACATCTTTTAAATTTCATGTGGTTCCTTTCTTCAGTTTGTCCCGTTTCTTGTTCCTCTGCAGACAGGCCCTGGCTCTGCCTGCATCAGGAAGTGCTTGCTCCACTCTTGCTCTACAGACACAGGACTTCAAGTCCTGTGTTAATGGCTTTGGTGCATTTGGAGTTGAGTGATCTGCAGGGTGAGGGGAGAGGACCGTTCTTCTGCACTCAGGTATCCAGCTCTTCAGCATCACTGGTTAGAAAAGCTTTCTCTTTGCCAGTGAATACGTACTTTTGTCACCAATGAGTGTTTTTTGTTCGTCATTTTGTTTTACAACAACAAAACCATTATTTTATCATCTAAAACATTTTCCATCCAAGATATTCTTATTCAATAGATTGTTTTAAGCTACTACATATTCAATAAGTTATTCAAGAAATACATTATAATACTTTCAAGCTGTGTACTGCAATATAAAAACACTGCCAGGGTACATGATTACCATAAAACATCACATTTGGATTCATAAATCTT